GATGTAGTCCGTCCCGAATGACTATTTTACCGCGTGTTTGACTGATCTATTTGCTATCATCATTATTTGGGCTGAATGCCATATTTGGGCCTCGTGCCAACTATTTGAACCCTTCGGGGATTTTTATTGATATTTGCTCACTGGTTTGACTTTATACTTGAATTCAATCATGTTATACTCCACTGTTTTCATACTCAGCCATGTTTACTATGTTTTAACATTTAAATGATAATTGGGCTGAGAATCATGTTTTACTACTGCCGAGTGGCTTGTGAGGTTTTTGACTGAGTAAGGTCGGGGGCCTATTTGTGAGGAAACATTGATTATGATCATGAGGCCGAGGGCATGAGATATGTACGCCACGAGGTGGCTTGTTGATATGAGGCCGAGAGCCTAGTGATGACGCCACTAGATGGCTTGCTATTGCGCTTGGGCTGTAAGGGGCCCCTCCAGGAGTCTGCACACCCCCAGTGAGCGCGGGTACCCATTGTGATGTGAGATATAGCCCGAGGGGCTGGTATTGTTGACATTGTTCCCGAGGGGCAATCCTTTATGTACTTATCTGTCTTATTTGTCTGCATTTACTTGTTTAATTGTTGAATAGGCATTTCTTGAAGTTTAAACCGAACTTATACGATTTTACATATCTTTACTAAACCACCGTTCTTACCTGTATTACTGCTTCATTATAGCCTATAATGTGCCTTACGTGATTTCATGCTTTTAGTCTTTATTTATGATTATTACTTACTGAGTTGGAGTACTCACTTTACTCCCTGCACCCTGTGTACAGATTCAAGCGTATTTGGTCCCGCTCCCGAGTGTTGATCTTTCCAGCTCAGGCGGATCCAAAGATTTTCTAGGTAGCTGCCGGCGTTCGTAACCTAGAGCTTTTTCCCTATCTTATTTCTCCTTGTTTTAGTTTTTTTATTAAACTCTGTAGACTATTCTGAGTATTCCGGATTTTTAGATGCTCATGACTAGTGACACCCCGGTATCGGGCTGTGTGGGGTTGTATTTTGCAAATTATGTTATTATCTGCTACTTTGAGATTCTATTTATTATGCTTTAGACTTATTCCTTATGGTTTAACTATTAAAAATTGAAGTGGGAAGTGTCGGCTGGCCTTGTCTTCACGAGAGGCGCCATCACGACCGGGTCCGGGTTTAGGGTCTTGACAAGTTGGTATCAGAGCCTAGGTTACATAGGTCTCACGATTCATGAGCAGGTTTAGTAGAGTCTTGCGGATCGGTACGGAGACGTCTGTACTTATCCTCGAGAGGCTGCAAAACCTTTAGGAAAAACTTCATATTCTTGAAATTCTTGTCGTGTGAATTTGTTGATCCGAGTACTAAACTTATGCTAATCTATTCTCTCACAGATGGTGAGGGCACGCGGGTAGGTTAGGATGGACGGCCACCAGTACCACCAGCTATGGCCACTAGAGGCCAAGGACGCGATCATGGTCGCGATAGGGGTAGAGGTGTGGCCTGCACAGCAGCTAGGGCAGCACCTGCAGATCCACCAGTCGCCCTAGTTCAGGATCTGGTCCCAGTTATGGACGCTCCAGCAGCACCAGCTCAGGCACCAGCTGTGCCCATTGTGATTCCGGGTCTTTAGGAGGCCTTGGCTCAGATCCTATCGGTTTGCACTGACCTAGCTCAGGCGGTCTCAGCTACTACAGCTATAGCTACTTCTCAAGCCGGGGGAGGCAATCAGACTCTCGCCGCTCACACACCTAAGCAATTCATGCAAGGACTTCAGACGTAGGGGTCACATCCAGCCCAGCTGGTTGCAGCTGCCCAGGACTATGTAGTTCCTGCCATGCCAAAGGATGAGCAGCGTAGGTTGGAGAGGTTTGGTAGACTTCAATCTCCGACCTTCAGTGGAGCAGAGGGCGAGGATGCCCAGGGTTTCTTGGATAAGTGTCAGAGGATGCTTCGTACAATAGGTATTCTGGAGACCAGCGAGGTCGCTTTCACTACTTATCTATTTTCTGGAGCTGCCTTCACTTGGTGGGAGGATTTTGAGCGGCACAAGGCTGTTGGTGCAGCACCCTTTACCTGGCAGCAGTTCTCCGTTCTCTTTCTAGAGAAGTATGTGCCGCAATCTCGCAGAGAGGAGCTGCATAGGGAGTTTGAGTGGTTGCATCAGGGAGAGATGACTGTGATGCAGTATGAGATGAGGTTCTCCGAGTTAGCTCGTCATGCTATTTGGTTAGTTCCGACAGATAGGGAGAGGATTAGGAGGTTTGTTGATGGCCTCACTTACTAGCTTCGTATTCTCATGACCAGAGAGAGGGTGACTGGTGCTACTTTCAAGGAGGTTGTGGATATCGCCCGTTAGATTGAGTCTGCTCGTCGCCAAGAGTGAGAGGAGAGGGAGGCCAAGAGGCCTCAAGGATCTGGTAGTTATAGTGGTGCTTCTTCGAGAGGTCAGTTTCAGCATGGTAGCGGCTGTCCATTCAGGCATGCTCAGCCAGCTCACCTAGGTTATTATGGGGCATCATCGGGTCATGGTTCTCACATTTCTCATCAGGGTCAGTCATCACTTAGTGCCCTTCCATCTTAGAGTTCGTCCCGTGCTCTATCAGTTCAGGGCTCTTCTATGCCAGGTGCATCTTCTAGTCACTCCGGTGCGAGGGGTTCCCTTCAGTCCCCTTCTCCAGCACCTGAGAGTTGTTATGAGTGTGGAGAGAAGGGTCATATGTGGAGGCAGTGCTCTCGTCGTCTTGCGAATTCATCTCAGCAAAGGGGTCAGTTATCGGCTTCAGCGCCAGTTACTTCATCACCACCCGCCCATCCAGCTAAGGGTGGAGGTCAGTTAGCTAGGGGTCGTCCCAGAGGGGGAGGTCGATCAGGTGGCGGTCAGGCCCGTTTCTACGCCCTTCCAGCTAGGCCCGATGTTATTGCTTCAGATGCTGTTATTACAGGCATTGTCTCAGTCTGCCACAGAGGTGCTTCTGTATTATTTGATCTCGATTCCACCTTTTTTATGTGTCATCATACTTTGCTTGTCATTTGGGTATGCCCCGTGAGTTTCTTACTTTACCTATTCATGTATCTACCCCGGTGGGCGATACTGTTGTTGTAGACCGTGTGTACCGGTCGTGTGTGGTAACTATTGGGGGTCTGGAGACCCAAGTGGATCTTCTATTACTGTGTATGATGGATTTTGATGTCATTTTGGGCATGGATTTGCTATCTCCATGTCGTGCTATTCTGGATTGTCATGCCAAGATAGTCACATTGGTGATACCAAGTATGCCACGGATTGAGTGGCGAGGTTTGACTGATTATGTTCCCGGTAGGGTAATCTCATTTTTGAAAGCCCAGCATATGGTTGGGAAGGGTTGTCTTTCGTATCTAGCCTTTGTAAGGGATGTCGGTGCAGAGACTCCCAGTATTGATTCTATTCCAGCTGTGAGGGATTTTCCCGATGTGTTTCCTGCAGACCTGCCAGGCATGCCATCAGACATGGATATTGACTTTGGTATTGACTTGGTGCCGGGCACTCAGCCCATTTCTATCCTGATGTATTGTATGACACCAGCGGAGTTGAAGGAGTTAAAGGAGCAGCTTCAGGTACTCCTCGATAAGGGGTTCATTCGGCCTAGTGTGTTACCTTGGGGTGCGCCAGTTCTATTTGTGAAGAAGAAGGATGACACTATGAGGATGTGCATTGATTATAGGCAATTGAACAAGGTAACAATTAAGAACAAGTATCCTTTGCCTCGCATTGATGATTTATTCGACCAGCTTCAGGGAGCGAGAGTGTTCTCCAAGATTGATCTCCATTTGGGTTATCACTAGTTGAAGATCAGAGACTTGGATATTCTTAAGACGGCTTTCAGGACCTGATATGGTCATTATAAGTTCTTGGTGATGTTTTTTGGGCTGACCAATGCCCCAGCAGCGTTCATGCATTTGATGAACAGCTTTTTCCGACCTTATCTCGACTTGTTTGTCATAGTCTTCATTGATGATATTCTGGTATATTCACGTAGTCAGGAGGACCACGCAGAGCATTTGAGAGTTGTGTTGCAAAGATTGAGGGAGGAGAAACTTTATGCAAAATTCTCCAAGTGTGAGTTCTGGCTCAATTCAGTGGCTTTCTTGGGGCACGTGGTGTCTAGTGAGGGTATTCAGGTTGATCCAAAGAAGATAGAGGCATTTCAGAGTTGGCCCAGACCATCCTCCGCCACAGAGATTTGCAACTTTCTTGGTTTGGCAGGCTATTATCGCCGGTTTGTTCAGGGATTCTCGTCTATCGCATCACCTTTGACCAAGTTGACTCATAAGGATGGTCGGATGAGTGTGAGGAGAACTTTCAGAAGTTCAAGAGAGCCTTGACCACAGCTCTAGTGTTAGTTTTGCCATCAGCTTCAGGTTCATATACCGTGTATTGTGATGCTTCGAGAGTTGGTTTTGGTTGTGTAGGTAGAGTTATTGCTTATGCTTCTCGTTAGTTGAAGCCCCATGAGAAGAACTACCCCGTACATGATTTGGAGTTGGCTGCCATAGTTCACACGTTGAAGATTTGGAGGCATTACTTGTATGGTGTGTCTTGTGACCTTACTGATCATCGTAGCCTCCAACACTTGTTCAAGCAGAAGATTTTCTAGGTAATTGTCGGCGTTCGCAACCCAGAGCTTCTTCCCTATCTTATTTCTCCTTGTTTTAGTTTTTGTATTAAATTCTGTAGACTTTTCTAAGTATTCCGGATTTTTAGATGCTCATGACTAGTGACATCCCGGTATCGGGCTGTGTGGGGTTGTATTCCACAAATTATGCTATTATCTACTACTTTGAGATTCTATCTATTATACTTTAGACTTATTCCTTATGGTTTAACTGTTGAAAATTGAAGTGGGAAGTGTCGACTGGCCTTGTCTTCACGAGAGGCGCCATCACGACCGGGTCCAGGTTTAGGATCGTGGCAATTTCCATGGACTTCATTGCCTTCCTCCTTCACATGAAAAGTCTGTGGTTTTTGTAGTTATGGACAAACTGAGCAAATATGCCCATTTCCTCAGCTTGAAACATCCTTATACAACTTTAGATGTGGCCCAACTTTTTATGGATAATGTGTTTGGGTTGCATGGGTTACCTCAGTCAATCGTCTCTGATAGGGATGCTATCTTTCTCTGTAAGTTCTGGCAAGAGTTCTTTAAGTTGCAGCAAGTCAATGTCCACATGTCTTCAGCCTATCACCCTTAGAGTGATGGCCAAACAGAGGCTATGAATAGGTGCCTCGAGTGCTTCCTGAGATGTATGTTGGCAGATAGACCAAAAAAGTGGTGCAAATGGTTGCCCTTGGCGGGATGGTGGTATAACACCTCTTATCACTCAGCTGCAAAATCAACTCCTTATGAGATCCTCTATGGACAGACACCTCCTTCCTTGGTTCCATATATGCCATTTGATTCTCAACTTGACTCGGTGGACAGAAGTTTGCATGCTAGGGAATCCACTCTCAGAACTTTAAAGTCTCTTTTGGCTCAAGCTCAACAAAGGATGAAAGTTAAAGCTGACAAGGGTAGGTTCGAGAGAACACTAGCGATGGGTGACTGGTGTATGTGAGATTGCAACCTTACAGACAACTCTCCCTCAAATCTCATTCTCACCAGAAACTTTCCCCTAAGTATTTTGGGCCATTTCAGGTGCTCCAGAAGATCGGTTCAGTGGCTTATAAACTCGCATTGCCTGCAGGCACTAAAATTCACCCCACATTCCATGTTTCTCAATTAAATAAGAGAGTTAATTCAGCTTACGTGTCGCGCATTATCCTTGCTCAAGTTACTGATCATGGTGTTGTACTACTAGTTCCTGAAGCAGTACGAGAAAGAAGGTTGGTTCCTCGCAATGGCAGACTTGTAGCCCAAGTACTTGTGAAATGGTTGAATGCAGCTGAGGAGGATATACTCTGAAATGTAAATAGTAGCTATATTGTGTCGTTTAGTTTAGTAAGGGGAGAATAAATAAAACGCAGCCATTTGGATAAGTGATTTAGTAGCTAATGAAAAGGGTCTTACGACGTCGTTTGAAGGAGTTAGTTAGACAGTTAAAAGGAGCAGAGGTCGTTAACAGGGGGAGGTCATTAGGGATTTTTACAGTGACTAGTTGGGAATAAATAGGGAATTCTGTTGTACACATTCAGTAGAACGTTTTTTGGTGAAATGAAATCTCTTTCCCTTCTTCTTCACTGAATTATCTCTTCTCCTTTCAATCTTTATTCAGGAGATCTCCTCTTTTAGCTCCTTAGAAGATTGAGTTTTCTTATTAATTTCTTGTTTGTAATCTCGGGTGTATCATAATACGGGCAAAAGATTGAGGGGAAATTAAGGATATTAGTTGTTCTATCAACTTCTACATAAATTGTATCCCCTATGAGCATAAAATAATACTCCTACTACTTGTTTGACTCAAAAGATATTGGAACCTTTTTGAATAAATCAATTAAAGAAATTGGAGGGGTAAATCTTAGCTAAGTATACTAATCTCTAGAACAAAAGGTATAAAAGATGAACACAATCCTAATATTTCTTGATCTTGTGAAGATGAGTGATCGAACATTAAGGATGTCAATCGTTATATAGAAAAGTATTACAGTTAGTGTTCTTAGCTAGTTACAAGGTTGTTTTCCCGCTATATATAATAAGGGACAAACCCCTTCTGAACCCTAAAAGACATATCATAGGGAATATTCGGAAGAATATTCCTAGTGCCCCCTGTTGGGCCTATACTACAGTAAAGGTCATGCAGTCTCTGTTCGCTCGTCTGTCGTCCTCCATAGGACGTCGAGCTACGGAGATCTTGTCAATGGTCGTGGTCATCCAAATTTGGACCCATACAATTAGTCCCTCCGCTTGTCGAGGTTGCAACTTGGTGCGTCCTTGATAAGAGGACACCACCCACTCTTGTGGAGAAATTTGGTTTTGCGAAGCGCTAGGGCTTGGCCAACAACGGGAGGTTAGCGTGCTTAACAAGACACTAGATAGTGTATCTTATCGGGAAATGACATCATCTCCATGTGCGTCATCATTATGCGTGTTTTTGAGACAAGGGTTGAGGGTTTGTCACTTTGGTTTCAGTGCCACTCTACAGCCTTCCGCTTCGATTCTGGCACCACCCAATCCTATAAATAGGTGGAGGGTTTGTTTTTTCAAAAACTCTTGGCAATTTCATTTCTGGAATCCTTTCTCATCCTTCCCGTGTTTGTTCCAACAATTTTCTGCTTCCTCTTCTCCCATTCTTCGTTCATAGCTTTCTCTATTATTTTAATACCTTTTACATCGAAGAGATGCTTATAACACATCGATCTTGTGAGGGGGTTTCTGACGCCACCCCGTTGTCCGTGGGGCACCCCTCTAGCGGTGAGGATATGACGGTGGAAAAGAGGGACAACTTTCCCACCGTGGAGGAGTTGCTGCCGAGACACCCCATGTCTCGAAGCGACTTTCTCAAGGATCCTCCTCCTATTCCCGTGCTCTCTGAAATGGAACAAGTTCATATTGATGCTCTCCGTACAAAATATAACATCCCCGCTCATGTTGATATGGTTCCAGCAGGAAGGGACTTCGTGGAAGTCCATAGGCCTGGGTACTATGCTTTTTATGAGTACCCCTTCGTATCGGCTATTCTTTCCCCCTTCTCCCATTAGCGGAAGAGTTCTGTTAATTCTATTTGACTTTCCTGGCACAACTTTCCCCATACACGCTTAAAATACTTCTACTGTTGACAAAGTACGCGGAGTTGGCGAGGTGCGAGGTTACCGTTCACCACCTTCTGCACTTGTTCTCATCCAGCTTTCATAGGGGCACTATGGTACATTTGAGGCACCATGGGACAAAAGGACTGGTGGTTGGGATTGACGACCGAGCAAGTCGCAAATTTTGGTATATGTACTTCTTTGTCAAAACCGAACACATTGTGTCTGACCCTACTAGGTTCCCAGAGCGATGGAATGAGAATCGTAAGTGTCGCCATTTTTTTGCTCTTTCTTTTCTTCTTCATTCATTATAGTGTTTGTTTGTTTCTCGTTTGCAGCTATGGGGCGTCCACCCCACTCTATCGCAGGTATAAGGGATTGGGTAACCCGTTTGTTGCTCCATGCAACGGAGACCCGAGATTGGCCCACTTTCATAAAACGTTTCGGGCCGAGAGTTTCATCTGGTAAATGTCTTCCCCTATATCACTTCGTTGGTTATATACCATTTTCTACTGATACGACTCTTCACGATGACAGGTCGATGAGCTTCTAGGCGGAGGGCCCCAGTCCTTGCATTTCGATAGGCTGTCATTGCTGTAGGAATGCAATTTACCTTAAGTGAGTCCGTCCGGGAAGGTCGTGCTCAACCGATACAGATGGGGGATTCTTCTCGCGATATGGTTGTGAGGGAAGAGACCCCTTCTGTACCGACCCGCCACCTTGTGGACGAATCCTCTAATGGGGATGAGTCGTTACTGAGGAAAAGGAGAAGGGTTGATCTTGGGAAGGATGTGCCGTGGACACTAGTAAAAGTAGGACGGGTGCATCGCAGACGGCGTCTGTGCCTATGCTTATGGCCGACACCATCTTGGCGGGGAGGTCTCCCCAAACGGAACGGGTTTACCCAAGAGGTGGTTCTGTGCACTCCGCTGAGGGTGGTGCATCATCTAACATCGGAGAGGGCCTACGTGTTGGGGGCGAAGGCTCGGGTTCAGATCTCGACCTGGAGGATGTTCGTGAGTTTTTAGAACGCCATACTCATGTGGAGGCCAAAGTGGAGGGTTCTGATCGACATATAGTTGTCCTAGGGGACTACAACCTATTGTCGAACTGTGATCAGGTGGCGTCTGCTTTAGCCCCTTTATGTGCTTCCCCCGAGAGCGAGGCTCTTAGAGCAATGAGCGACATGGAGTTGTCTCGGAACGTCGCCGGCATGGCCTTGCGGGTAGATGTCTTACTTTTTCTTTTCGTCGTTGGGTTTGCATTGTTATTGTCGACCTGTCTTTTCATTTTAACTTCTTTATTGTTGTACCAGACCCTTATCATGGAGAACAAGCACAAGCACCGGGAAAGGAAGACGACGGCCATCTACGGGAAGATATCTTCCAAATATCAAGAATATCGCACTAAGTACCGTGCGATGGCCGACATCTACAACCAGGACCCTGATTTCCAACTGTTCCGTGAAGGGCTTAAACAGAGGGAGGATCAATTGGCGTCTAAGGTCGAGGAATTGAGGGAGCGAGACGAGGACCTTATGAAGGGCATCTCCCGCAGCAGTGAACTTGAGGCATCCCTTAAGGTGAAGGAAGATGAGCTCGAGTTAAGTAGAGGGGTGATGGCCGAGAACGTTGACTTACAAGCAAAGATGGCCAGCTTGACTGCCGAATTGGGTATGAAGGCGGTGGAGATTAATGGGCTTAAGGGTGAGTTGAGTGTGAGTGCCGATAAGCTGGCGACTGCTATTTCTAAAGCGGTGGTCTTGGAAAATACCCTCTGTGATGTAGGTCGGAGCTGACCAAGGAGAAGGAGGCATCCGCGCTTAAGATAGCGGGGCTTGAGGGGCGTGTTAAGGAGTTGGAGGCGGAGTTATCCACGTTGACTGGACAAGTGGCATCATTGAGAACGGAGGACGCACGTCGACACTCTCAACCTTCTGTGTCTCGTGCCTCGGCCGATCCCATCGTGCCCCGTCATTTATATGAGTTGTGGGTTCACGCCGAGGCCCAGCTCGATGTGTACAAGGCTCTTCACACCGACGGGAGGGAATCTGAAGTAGAACTTTAGGATATGCGAGCCAAAGCTCGGGCAGCTCATGAGGCATGCGGATATGACCCGCTTACGCCTGACGGAGATGATATCAACTCTGATGATGCGAACAGTCTTACCTCTGACTCTTGGTACGAAGATGTGTATGGTACCATGGACGATGTGTAATTTTTGGTTTGTACTTACTTTTGCTTCAGGATTTTTGTAAGGGCATCTTTGAGCCAATTGTAAAGATAGGTGTTGGCAATATTCTGTTGTAATGAAAAAATTGTTTTGTCAATTTGGTGGCAATCTTTGTTATATTTTTGTTGATTTGAGTGATGATGTTACCTTCGAGTCGATATCGAGGTAATATCGCGTCGTAGTTTGAGTGACGTCGAACTTGTATCTTTGTCGATGGCCTTAGCCATTGGGATGTTACTTTCGAGCTAGCGTCAAAGTAATATCCCGTCATAGTTCGAGTGAGGTTGAACTCATATTTTTGTCGATGGCCTTGGCCATTGGGATGTTACTTTCGAGCTGGCGTCAAAGTAATATCCCGTCGTAGTTCGAGTGAGGTCGAACTCATATTTTTGTCGATGGCCTTGGCCATTGGGATGTTACTTTCGAGCTGGCGTCGAAGTAGTATCCCGTCGTAGTTCGAGTGAGGTCGAACTCATATTTTTGTCGATGGCCTTGGCCATTGGGATGTTACTTTCGAGCTGGCGTCGAAGTAGTATCCTGTCGTAGTTTGAGTGAGGTCGAACTCATATTTTTGTCGATGGCCTTGGCCATTGGGATGTTACTTTCGAGCTGGCGTCGAATTAGTATCCCGTCGTAGTTCGAGAGGTCGAACTCATCTTTTTGTCGATAGCCTTGGCCATTGGGAGTTTCATTCATACATTAGAGATTTGATTATATTCCTGTAGGAAATACATGTTGATTTTGTACCTATAATGGAGATTTGGCTATCTATACCTAGTCCCTTCATTACTCGGCCTGGAGATCATATCGATGGGCGGGGTAATGAACAACACTTCGGACCTCGAGACGTCTCCCTTGCCGCCTCATTAAAAACCATACCGAGAAAACCTGATTGGAACAAAACCCGGATGAGGGAGAAAGAGTACGACTTAGGCGGCACCTCTTTTCAGACGTGGAAGTATTTGAGAAGGGAGACATTCCAATTGT